TGAGTGCAATCAAGCTAACCAACAACCCGGTTCAACATGCAAGAACAAAGCACATTGATGTCCGTCATCATTTCATAAGAGATCACCAACAAAAAGGGAACATTTGCATTAAGAGTGTAGGCACCAAAGATCAACTTGCTGATATATTCACCAAACCATTGGATGAGAAAAGGTTTTGCAAGCTAAGGAATGAGTTGAACATATTGAATTTCATAAAATATGTGTTGATGCACCCCCACTTATATGACATGCCTCTCCTTCGAGCAATCCAAGGTAAAGGTTGATTGGCATGGCATACATCCTTACTAAGGATATGATTAGTGCATCTAGTCATCTTTCACATTTAATAGGCTCATTCATGAAAATCAAATGAATTTGATGATTGTATGGTACCACTATTACTTCTATGCTTGACTTGATCTAGTGGTAACATATAACACATTTGTGGGCTTGTAAACCTAGTGTTTGATCTAGAAAATAAGCTCTAAGTGTTTAACTCAACATGGTACAAGATAACCCTTATTTGGAGGTGTGAAGAAGCTTGTCCTTGGATCAAACCGAGTTAAATATCTTTGGTAAGTATTCTAGATTGAACCAAATTTGGGAAAATGATCCTCACCCCATTAATTAACATTGATAATATCAACCTATCTACATTTTGAACCTTTGTGGTCATTGATGACAAAGGGGGAGAAATAGTGTACAAAGATAGTGAAAAGACAACAAGGGGAGAGAAACAAAGATGTAAGTGATAGGGGGAGAATTTGACATAGGGGGAGAGATATGGATCAATTAAAATTTTGAGCACACAAGTAGGGGGAGGAAGCTCATAAACTTGGTGGATGCATTTGAATGTGCATTTCGTATATTTGCTTGCATAGCACAAATTTTAAATTTCAATATCCATGCTTGTGTGGTGTATGCTAGTTGTAGGTTTGAATGATGAAATGAAAAACCAACATGCATAGGTGAAGTAACTAGACTCATGCTCACATTATGAAAACTAGACCCTTACTTCTAAAATTGATCTCACGGGGTATCCTAGTCTTTTTGTGAATGTCTAGTTACTCATGGTGCTAAGGATGGTATATTGGTGCACTCCGATTGGTATCACGCTTCAAAGGTCCATCTTTTATACCTTAGCATCATTTAATAGACATTGTCTCCTATATTTCCTATCTAAGCATATGTGCAAGCTACAATCCAAACTCTTAGCGCATATGTAAGGGGAGAAATTGCTACCATATGGGATTCATGAAACTTGTCCATATCCTTTTACACATAGTAAATATGCTTGGGCAAGCAACATGGATCTAAATGAATTTCAATTCATATCTTTGTGAAAGGGTTGTCATCAATTACCAAAAAGGGGAAGATTGAAAGCTCTAGTTTAATTTTGGTGAATTGATGAAACCCTATATGCTAACCTAGTTTATCAAAGTGATTATTAGATAGGTGGCACATTCCAAGTGGTGAAGCAAATGAAGATCATGACTTGATGATGGTGATGCCATGGTGATGACCAAGTGCTTGGACTTGGAAAAGAAGAAAGAGAAAAACAAAAAGCTCAAGGCAAAGGTGAAATTGATAGGAGCTTTTCAGTTTAGTGATCGAGACACTTAGCGAGTATGATCATATTTAGGATCGATAGCCGTACTATTAAGAGGAGTGAAACTCGTATCGAAATGCGGTTATCAAAGTGCCACTAGATGCTCTAACTCATTGCATATGCATTTAGGATCTAGTAGAAAGCGAACACCCTTGAAAATGTTTGTGAAAATATGCTAACACACGTGCACAAGGTGATACATTTGGTGGTTGGCACATTTGAGCAAGGGTGGAGAAGTTGGTGAATTGAAGGAGGTGTTTTTCACTGTCAAACAGTAACCGGACGCTCAGTTCGATGTGACCGGACTCAGGGTTCCAGCGTCTGGTCAATTATAAAAGAAGGTGGTGATCTCGGGCTTAATTTGCCCTGTGACCGAACTCGGAGAAGAAAAGTGACCGGACTCTGGCTGAACACTGTTCAGTGTCCGGTCCTGCTGACGTGGCAGCGCGTAGAGAAGAGGAGGAGAGGACGCACCAGAGCGTCCGGTCATGGTGGACCGGACGTGTTCGGTCATGATTTTGTCTCTCTGAAATCTTACTGGAAACGACCGGACTCCAGTGATGGAGCGTCCGGTCACTTTAAAAAATGCGTCCGGTCACAACTTAACACATGGCGCGAAGCAGACTAGCCATTAAGATCGAGCGTTCAGCATTTGTGGCTGATGACACGTGGCAAGCATCGGGTGACTGGACGCTGGGGTCCTGCGTTCGGTCAGCCCGTGTTTCAGAGGACTAAGGAGCCAACGGCTCTATTCATGGGGCTCTCTATTTAAGCCCCATGGCCGGCTGAAGCTCACTCTCTTGGCCATTTGCATTGACATAGCAACCTTGTGAGCTTAGCCAAAGCCCTCCCACTCATCTCCATCATTGATTCATGATCTTTGTGAGATTGGGAGAGAATCCAAGTGCATTGTTTAAGTGTTTGTATCTAGAGGCACTTGGTGTTCGTGTTTCGTTGCAGGATTCGCTTGTTACTCTTGCCGGTTGCCGCCACCTAGACGGCTTGGAGCAGCGAGGATCGTCGAGCGAAGGTTGGTGATTATCTCTAGCTCCGATCGTGGTGATTGTGAGGGGTTCTTGATCTTTCCTCGGTGAAGAGTCAAAAGGTACTCTAGTAAATTGCTCGTGGCTTGTGTGATCCTCATCTTGCGTTGGTTGTGTGGCACCCTATTGAGGGTTTGGCGTGTGATGTCAATTAGCGCGTGAACCTCTAAGTGAGTGAATCGCCACAACGGGGACTAGCTTGCCGACAAGCAAGTGAACCTCAGTAAAAATCATTGTGTCATCATTTGATTACAGGGTGATTGGTCTTCATTGATATTCATTCTTGTGATTGATTGGTTCATTCATCGACTCGGCGGTATAACTATCTTGCTCTCTCTCTTTACATTACCACAAACTAGTTGTCAAGCTTTTTAGTGTAGCTAGTCGTGAGAGCTTGTTAGTTTGGTTAGTGTGGCTCTTTAGTTAGCCTTTGAGAGCACACTAACTTAGTGTAGTGGTATAGCCATTGTGTGGATAGAGACTATATAAACTAGAATTGTGGTAGGTGGCTTACTTTTTAGTAGGCTAGCGCAACACTCGTTTTGCCTCATATTTGTCTAACTAGTTTGTTAAGTGTTGTTGTAGAAATTTTTAATAGGCTATTCATCCCCCTCTAGCCATTAGGACCTTTCAGCAGCTGGCATGCATGTAAGCTCCTGACACATGCTAGAGGAGAGAAAAGAGTTGCGTTTTAGCTTATCTATTGTGATGCAGGTCCCACTCATTGATTTAGCATAAAATGGTCGAACCTCTAGCCATGGTATCCAATTGTATTAGTGTGACTCGATCCTCACACTAGAGTTGTCCTTAGGGTATTGAGGATTTTTTTTTTGCGAGGAGGGTAGCGAGGATTTGAGGTAATTGTAATCTAGTATCAGCCTCTGCATACTATTCCTACCAGACTGGTTAGGGATCGCAAGTGCTTTTATCCTCACTTTGCCCAAAGTGGTTAACCTATGGTGTTTTAGCCAACAAAACATATGCGTAATAATAGACTAAGTATAAAGCATTGTTGGATTAATAATGTGACAAAAAGATGGTATCCATAGCGTTCATGGTTGAAACTGGATAAGCACATATATAAAACCTTTTTTTTCATTGGCATGTATGCTAAGAATAGGATAAATGGTCGGGAAAATGTTATTCATCTATGATTTTGCAACCAAAATAAGCTAAGTTTTGGAAACTGCCGCGCACTGAAGTTGACGCTCACCTGCAAAAGTAAGATTTGAATCTCTTTCCGAATTCTGTTGCTTCTATCCAATGAATACGACTAGTTGGTTGCTCAAGCATGTAGGGTCTGTTTGGTTCTACCGCTAGGCAAGGTTGTCTGCCGGGCAGCGAATCTAGGCTATCAATTTCGGTTGCCTAGCGTCCAGGATTGATGCCTAGAAAGGAACCTGCTTACCAGGCTACCAACTAAACACGCCCGTAATGCCATGAGGTGCTTAGAGGCAATTTCATTATTTCTCTTGCCACCATGTGTCTGAGCACAGGCTCGTAGCACTGCTCTATGAGGCGTTGGACGCTTGGTTTGAATCTGTTTGTTACAGAGCAGCTTTAGGATTTGTTTGAAACTGTTTTTTTTTTTTACCAAACAGGTTGAAATAAAATAGCACCTCAAGTAGAGCTGTTTAAAACCCGCTCTCACATGGGTGGGTGCTGGTAGATGAAGCTGAAAATATTAGCTTCTCCCAGCTTCCTCTGCTATTAACCATGAGAAGCTGTTTTACCAATTTTTTTTTTTTCAAAACAACTTCAGCTACAATGAAGTTGTTCATGGAGCCGAAAAAAATGCTCCACAATGGCAGAGCTATTTAATTGGCAAAGTAAATTTGTTTAGTTTACATTGAAGGTACTAGGGTCTTATTTGGATGTTTCATGATTCTCCATGCGTATAATAAGCACCCTAATATAACACGCTGAATCTGGCTCCGTGTCTGTGAGTCCTTTTTTTTTTTTTTTTTTTTTGAGGGAAGTCTGTGTCCATTTGGCTGACACTTGGTTGTCGTAGGCCAAACGGCTACATCGCAGCAGCAGGGCCGGGGCCCATGGCGGACCCAGGCCCATGCAAGCCAAGCCCACGCGGTTGCGACGCGCTCCTGGTCCTACCGGCACCGGCTAGCTGCTGCAGGAGCAGGAGCAGGCAGCGCCGGGCTCCAACTGCCCGCTCCCCGCTTTGGCGTGCACCCCTACTCCCCCCTCTTGCCAAATAAATATCTCCCCTCCTAAGCTCCGCCCGCCTGTCTAGAGCCCTATCTGTCTATATAACTTACCGCCGGTCCGCGCCGCGCCCGCCCACCGTCCCCGTCCCCGTCTAAGCACCCGGATCCTCTGCCGCCGCCGCGATGAGCTACTACGGCCAGCAGCAGCCGCCCGTCGGCGTGCCGCCGCCGCAAGGTACGTCTGTTCAGTTCTCGTGCACCCTCCCTGTTTCCGCGATCGATGGCGCCTCGTCCCTCTGACGTGGATCCGTCGTGCCCACTGCAGGTTATCCCGGGAAGGACGCGTACCCGCCGCCGGGCTACCCGCCCGCGGGATACCCTCCGCCGGCGCAGGGCTACCCACCGCAGGGGTACCCGCCGCAGCAGGGGTACCCGCAGCAGGGTTACCCGCCGCCGTACGCGCAGCAGCCGCCCCGCCCGCAGCAGAGCAGCGGGCCCTCCTTCATGGAGGGATGGTACGTGCTCTCCTCTCCCCGCCCCCTCCCACCCCCGATTCCACGCGGTTCCAGATCTTGGAGTCGCCGATTCGTTTTCATTTTCGCCGAGACGACCGACCTGTGCGGGGGCGCTAGTGGCCTAGTGGTTGTGCCGCTGCCAGGTGCCAGCGCCAATTGACGAGCGGTTGGGTGGGTCGCGGTCGCGGCGGGTTCAGTCCGGCCGTGTATGCTCCGCCCTAAGCGTGGTCCCCACCACGCCCACGACGTTTGTTCGGCCGTCTGAGCATCCAGAGTGGCAGTCATCCCAACGTCTCGTCTCGTTGGATGAAGTTGACATTGCATCTCGTCTGACGCATCTTGTCACCAGTAGTATACTCGTACAGTAGGTTCCGATCTGCTGATTGGACCTGCTGTTTTGCATCCTACTGTAGCAGCTAGAAATTAGCTCTAATTCATTCAAATAAGAGAGCTAATGAAACTATTTTTTAGCTAAGCCCTTATCTGATGTTAGTCCATTAATCAAACAATTAACAAAAGCTAATAATTTATTGCTACCCATGCATGTACTATTAATCAGGATTCGAACATGCACCGGATAATTTTTAGTTTTTTTTTTCCAAATACTTCTGTCATTCCAAATTATAAGACGTTTTGTCTTTTTTAGAATCATAGTTTTTGCTGTATATTTAGATATATAATTATGTATAGACGCATAGTAAGAACAATATATCTAGAAAAACCAAAATATTTTATAATTTTGAATGGAGAGAGTAGGTCATTAGTCCTTTGGTCTTAGTATTGATTATGTGTAAAAGGACCGTATAAGTTTTGACGAATCTATTTTTTATTTACAGCTGCAATTTCAAAACATTTGCTGCAATTTTTTTTTATTCTGGGAAAGCTACCGGCACGTCGCTGTTTAGTTACGGATGGTGATTGCGTCCAGGCTTGTATTCCGTGTTGTCTATTGCTTTCGTGCCTTGCATTTGTCGCTCGAGGCTAACCGCGCTCTCGGAAAAGCCAATGGAATCAAGGGATTATGCTTCACTGTCTTCGATTTCTTTTTCTTGTCTGACCTGTTCTGCCAACCGAGACATCTTTGGGTGATACACCGTGGGAGGGACTCATGATCAGTGCTGCGCTGTTACTACACTTGCCAACGCCGCTGGATTATGCTAATGAATACTGATCGTCTCTATTCTAGATTTCTTTTTGTAGCAACAAATGAAAATAATTACTGTTTAAATGAGCATGAGTACCATTTCCTGACGGAATCCTTTCTCTGTTTGCACAGCTTAGCCGCCCTTTGCTGTTGCTGCCTATTGGAAGCCTGCTTCTGAGATCGAAGCTGCGCACAACCTGTTCCGGAAACCGCTTCGCACAGTTGATATAACTGGGATTGGCTTGTTAGTGAAAAACCCAAGATACCATGAGTTCTTATGCAAATCACATCTCCTATTGTTCTGTTTGTCCGTTGAGATGTTTGATGTACCTAGCAGTATTGTTTATTTTAATGTAATTCATGGAATCCTTGGTCTAGCTAACATTGTGAGATGTCAATTTTCTTGTTTTGTGTAGTCATTGCATTTTGCTCCTTGGCGTTGTCTTCTGTGGGATGTGTCTATAATCTTTTCAGGCCTATAAAAGCCTGTTTGGTTGATGCCTAAGCTTGCTACACCTAATCTTAGGCAAACTATGGTTGCTGTAGGAAAGTGTGGTGAAAAAAATTGAAGCCACACTTGTGACAAAGTTTAGTAAGAAAATAAATTTATAGCATATGGGGTAGGCTGCTAAGAAAGTGTAACGCTGTATAGTTTCGGTAGTGAATCAAACAATTGCCTAAGGAACTGGTAATGCTAGGCAAGCATCTAGGCTAACATTTGGCTATCCCATAAAGCTCCGGGATGGAAATTATTTGTCCATCCATTTCACACTTAAGCATTTTATTATTACCCTCTCCTCCACACACAAATTTTAAACCATTGAGTCTTCATTTGTGATTCAAAATTCAGATGCTATCCTATTGTTCTCTTCGGTCTCTTACCTCCACATAACATGCCGTACTCATCTCTTCTCTTGGGCATCCCATCGGCCTTTGTTGCTAGGCGAACCTTTCTCTGCCAGTCCTTTCTTTACAAGGCCAAACACTAACATCGAGTCATGGACCCCATGACATCCCTGAATACTAAACCTAGTCTTGTTGGAGAAGCCTAATCTCGCTAGAGTTGGAGAGGAGGGTGAAGATTAACTGGAAGTGAAATTCAAGTGTAGGGACTGCTAGTAGGGAGGAAAGAAACACTCAAGCGTCATATAGTAGTTCCTCTTTTTTTACCAACACAACCTAAAATAAAAATAATAAGCACATGTCCATGTCCATCTGGTGAAATTCATGGGAAATAGGGAATGACACTTGCTGATAGTTGTTTAAATATCGATTCTTTGTGATATTATTTATTGATTTTACAACTTTAAGATAAGAATTAAATAACTTGATTATGAGATTCTAGTCAATAAAACCTATATTTTAATAATTTTATATTTAAGATCATGTGACTGCGATCCAATGTGAATACCTCCAATCTAGAATATGCGGTCTTGACAACCTTGCTCTTGCTTCTACTGGTGGTTGATGGGGCCTCTAATCCACGACCCAACCGAGCCCCAACGTTCCCATCCAAGCATGAACTCAACTGTTTCATGAGAAGTTGCCGCGGAATTTCCCTGAAATTTCAGTATTCCTTGGAGACCTCTCTACAGATCCAAGTTACTCCAGCGTCTTGATTTCTGCAGAAACTAATGCAGTGGACTCTGCCCATTACTCTGTTCTAGATGAATTTAAAGCACACATGATCAGCGCCTAGTTGCCATAATGATGACTGCATTTGTTGTCACGCTGGACCTACCGATCACACGGTTTCACAGCATGACTGTGGACGTGGAAATGACAAAGCAAGTGCCTAGCAACTTGCGATGGTAGCGACAGCAACGAAAAGCATGGTCATTCAAAAAAGCATGGGCATTAAACATGTTACAGACGACTTGACTTTCAGTCTAGCGAGGCCTAGTTATTTCAAATATACAACAAACACATTTTAAAGGAGGTGGTGGTTCAAATATACAACAAACGTAGCACCTTTGGGTTAACCCTTTTACACGAAGCGAGGACGAAAGTGTAAGAGGGGTGCTACGCGTATGCAGGCCCGTTCCACGTGCGAAGCTGGGCCACATAAGCAGTTTTTGGATGGGGGGTGTTACAGGCTGGGCGCGGCTAAGAAGCTAGCGGTGGTCAGGGTCGGGCGGGGAGTGGGGAGAAGAAGATGCCGAGAGGAAAAATGAAAGGAAAAAATGTGATGTGACATCTGGGCCCCTTGTTTTGGGAGAGACGGGGAGCGGGGAGAAGAAGATGCCGAGAGAGAATATGAAAGGAAAAAATGTGACGTGACATCTGGGCCCTTCGTTTTAGGAGAGATTGTTGGTGATCTGCTACAGCATCTTTCCCAATAAACCAAAAAGGTCGGGGTCGGGCGGGGAGCGGGGAGACGAAGATGTCGAGAGGGAAAATGAAAGGAAAAAAATGTGATGTGCCATGTGGGCCCCTCGTTTTGGGAGAGGTTGTTGGGGATCTGCTGCATCATTTTCCCCAATAAACCAAAACAACAGTCAATACAATCATATTGGTGATGAGTTATTGGGGAGCTGCTGGTTACCACCGCTTCCACTTGCTCTCCAATTTCCGTGTTGTACATCGGTCTCCACCTCAAGTCTTGGTGATCCCTATCAGCACTTCCCGCTCTCCAGTCCAACAAGCTCCCTGAAAACACAACTTATTTCGACATTTCCACAAGATCCACGAAGTAGCAGAGCTTACTATATTATTAACAACATGCTTTTTATTTGCAATCCATCGAGACACTAGTCTCATTATCCCAAACACCCTGCAGTCCTGTAATATCTGATATCAGAGACTAAATTCTGGTTAATTGATACACAGCATTCAAAAAACAAATGCAAAATGGTTTCCTGCTCTGCACACAACAGACAGATTAGATCATCGGCCATGTTCGCTTGGCTGATAAGCCATGACTGAAAGTACAGTTGGCTGATTCGTTGTGAGAGAAAAATACTGTTCGTTGGCTGAAAAAGTACGGCTTATAAGCCAAACGAACAGGACGGTACTAGACGTCCGGTGGTTCGCATATGGAGAACAGCAGGGGCACGAACCAAGCCCTAGGAGAATAAACCCAGCCCAGCCGAAAAGCCCAAATATAGTTATACGGTAATGCTACAGAACATACATCCGCAATCTTAAAAAAATCAGATGCTCTGCTCCGTGCTCGCTCTAGCACAGCAACCGGCCCAACAGGTCCATCTTCGCTTTCTCCTCTATCTACTCCATCTACACTGCAACAGCCGACAGAAAATCCCCAACTCCTTGCTTCCATCACCACGGCTCACCGCGTCGTCCATCCCAAGCTGCCTCATGGCGGCGTCCCCATCCCGCGTCGAGTCATGCCACGTCTGCCACCGCACCGTGCTCCATCCCCCGCCACGCCCACTCCGCCTCATCGCGCCGTGCCCCGTCCCTTGCCGTGTCGAGGTGCTGCCGATGTCGTCGTTCCCCACCAAGAGGTCGTGGCCGTTGTCGACTCTGGCGCCGCGTGGCGCTCGACCTCAACTCGCGACATCACGAGATGCGGAGTGGCCAGACCCGGAGCGGGCTTCTCCAGCTGCACCTCGGGCTCCCTTCCTTCCTCGGATGTTGCAAGCGCCTATTGCAAGCGTATATTTCAAGTAGTTCATATGCATGTTGCAAAGTGTTTTATGTGGATGTTGCAAAAGTAGATCGTGATGTTGCACATGTTGCAATGGCTTACACGTATGTTGCAAGCGTCTGTTCCAAATGTTTCGGACAGATGTTGCACGTGTTTTATCAGGGTGTTGCGTATATTTCACACTTATGTTGCAAGTATTTTATCTGGGTGTTTCATATGTTTCACACTTATGTTGCAAAGTGTTTCATCTGGATATTGCATATGTTTTTAACACGTACGTATGTTGCAAGTGTTTCAACTGTTTCGGACGTATGTTGTAAATGTTTTCTCAAGATGTTGCAAAAGTAGATCTGGCGTTGCACATGTTGCAGTGGACCCCATCTGTAGCAACCACATGTTGCAGCTACTCGGCCCGCCTGCATACGTGTGGGTGTGGAGGGGGCACGAGCGGCAGGCACGGGAAACCGTGCGGGCACAAAATTGAGACGGAGCGGGCATGGGACACGGAGCGCCGCGAGACCCCACGTGAAGCAGACATGCGGCGCGGGCGTTCGAACGCTAGCCCCCGTCCGGACGTCCGGGCGCTAGCGTTTCCCATAGTTCTATGGGTAGGTTGGACCCGGGCTCCATTACTCAGCAAACATGATGGCTCACTCAAACATTTCTGTCGATACTTGGCTAAATTATATAGTCATAATTTAATCTCGTTAACCCAAAATTAGTGGTGTAAACTTTTAAGTTCCCTCCAATTAACTAACTTTTATCTTGTCCCACACACGTTGTTATAAAATATCAGTAATCAACAGTCCAAGATTAGAGCAGGATAATTCTTTTAATGATACAAATCAAATTCCAATCCATAAATTGAAACCGAAACACAAAGGCACCTCAATCTCCTCCTGAAGCTCCCTTCCCTATCTACCATGTAGGGAAATGGTACATAGGCAAAGTAGCTGGAGACACCAGGAAGCCTGCCTCTTCCACACCAAGGTTCTATTGCCCAAACAATTTATGTTTTTGCTTGCGTGAGTGTGAATATGTCATTTGTGGTTATTGATGAACTCATGATGTATTCATGTACATGTACTAGAATACGCTACCTATGTATTCTGTAATCTGCTCTTTCTTGATTTGGGTTCTAGTTTTGCACTGCGGCTGGGTGTTGCCTGCTATTGCCGCCTCGCGCTTGCCGGGTAGGTCACAAATCGTACCCTGCAGTCGGCCCAACCCATGCAAAAAAAGAAGAAGTTTGATCCGTCCTTTCATTAAGCTTCGGTTTCATCGTGGTTTTGGCCCATCTAAGACATGTTATTAGGCTTATTTACACTTATCCTGTCATCTGTGTCTGCCAGTTAGTGAAATCCTTTATTTTCACCTTGCAATCATATGCCTTGTTTTGGTACAAAAACTTGTGAAAGTTGGCATACAATACAAACCGTAAATGGAATTCATTACATGTATAACAGTGTTTAGTAACACTCATCTCAAGCAATATTAGAGAGAATATAAGATAATAAAGTGGTACTTAACGAGTGTCAACACACTTTCAGCCACAAATCCATCTCTTCTGAACAGATCAAGTCTTCCCTATGTAATGCATAATACACTTTGGAAACCATTTTAACCAGTTACATAAAAAAAAATATCCTCAGTTTTCAGTGAGGTTACAAAAGCTATCTTAAACAGAGTAATTTATAGAGCCGCAAAAACCACCAGCCGCAAGAACATACAGTCTGTTCGTTTCGGCTTATTCGCTCGTATCTGGCTTATAATCCACAGCTTGAACAGTGTTTTTCTCTCACACCAAACCAATCAGCAGTACTTTCAGCCATGGCTTATAAGCCAATTCAGCCGAAACAAACATGCTGATAATGGGAAACTACTTTGATAAATACTTTGCTGCGAATTCAGCAATGTTCTTGTCAGAGCTCCCTCCTTCCTGCATCGCCTCCTTAGCCTTCTTCATCCATTTCGCCGCATTCTGCCTGAACTCTGCTTTCCTCTCCCCTTCCATCATCTCCCTTATGCACCTCGCCACCTCCTCCCTCCTCACCAAGCCCTTTCGCATCCGCACTCCGATCCCCCACGCGCTCTCCACATACTTGGCCGTCGTCGGCTGGTCCGCCCACTGCGGCATGGCCACCATTGGAACACCACTAGCGATGGATTCAATCGTCGAGTTCCACCCACAATGCGTCAAGAAGCAACCTACATACATTTGGGCAAAAAATGTTTACACTCTTCTCTTCTAAAACAAATTTCTTATCGTCGTCTTGGTTGACAATATAGGAGTACATCACAAGCTGAGTTTGGATCATCTCGTACGTACCTGTGGCCTTGTGTGCCAGCACCTCAAGCTGAGGACAGAAGGGGACAACGAGGCCCCTCTCCTTGCACTTGTCACCGAGCTGCCGACACAGCTTCTCTGCCTCGTTGGACCTCAGCACCCAGACGAAAGGCTTGCCGGAATCGCACAGTCCGTTGCCCAGCTCCTCTAGCTGCGCCGTGTCGAGGTTGGCGACGGTCCCGTACGACGCGAGCACGACGGAGCAGGGCTCCTGCTTGTCCAGCCACGCCATGCACGGCGCCTCAGAGTCAGTGCTCGAGAAGAGGTCCACGCCGTACGTCTTGTTGCATGGCAGCCGGCCGTCGTCGAGGTAGAACGACGGCAGTGTCGGGCCGATGGTCTTCGCGCGCCACGTCGATTCCAGGTAATCTGCCTCCTGCGAGGTCAATCAGCGGGAAGATTTGAATTTCCTCTGTTTCTCCAGCTTTGAGTTGAAAAAAAAAATCAACAGGCATGGTGTGCTCAGTGGTCAGTCAGTGCTCACTCACGACTCACCCTTGGCTCCAGGTCACGGAACGAGTTGACGAGCACGTCGTCGGCGAGCTCCAGCCCGTCGAACTGGCTGAGCGCGGACTCCGTGAACGCCGGGTACCACTGGGGCGCCGCCACGAACGGCGGCACGTCGTCGGGGCCCAGCTCCACGGCAAGCCTCCCACTCCGGCGCAGCTCCCCGCCGTCCGCCAGCGGCAGGGCCATGCGCCCGGCCCACGCCTCGCCGTAGACGAGGTCCACCGCGCACATCTGCGTCAGGAACGCGGCGGCGGCCAAGCCGGCGGCCCGCGCCACGCGGCGCGCCCACGGCAGGTGCGAGTCGTACACCAGCACCCGGACGCGCCGCCCCGCGCGGGCCTCGGTGTCCAGGAGCCCCGCCAGCGTGTCCGACCCCGCGGCCTCCATCCGCCGCACGTACTCCGCGACGTCCGGGCACGACGAGATCCCGCCGGCGTCGAAGCCGTCCGAGATGGCGGCCACGGGGAACGGGCACGACGACGTGGAGGCGGAGGTGGAGGTGGTGGAGAGGACGTGGCGGGAGACCACCAGGGTCGGGCGCAGGCCGTGGAAGGCCAGCCGCCGGCCCAGCTGGAGCATCGGGTTAGCGTGGCCCTGCATCCCAGGGAACGGTAGGAGCAGGACGTGCGCGCCGCAGCCGTCGCCTTCGCCGCCTTGGACGAACGTGGTGGCTGCGCCGTCGTCCATGGCTCCGTATTCGTGGCGTTGCAACGGCTACATGGCTTGTCACTCGCTGATCTGACTGCATTAGTAATGGTCCAGTGGAGTGGCGCGCAAGCTTCTTGGATTGGGAATGCAGGTCGACTCTGGGAGAGCTAGAAGACGTGCATCAGCTCAGCTCGTAGTCGCCGTTGTGAGGGAGAAAGAACAAGTTGGAATTCGCCTGCATTATTTTAGCAGAAAAATAGTGTGCGCACGTGACGGGGTCATGGCATCGTTCCATTGCTTCCGAGAACCGAGCAGGCATGTTCCTGTCCTGCGGATAATCACCAACGATGAGAGATCACACCTTGCCAATCCTACGCACATCAAGGATTCATGCTAATAGAACCTTCATCAATGGTCCAACAGATATTTTCTCCTCAAGATCGTTCCCAGTGACTGCACTTCTCTTCATCTCTCTCTCTCTCTCATCTCTTTTGGCCCGGCGCCTCAGATGGAGAAATCACCTATGTCTGCTTGGACAGCTATTGTAGCTATGCTGTTCTGATGAGCATATATTTATGAGTCATTTTGACTCTTATCTTCTTAGCTAAGCTACAAGTCTGTATCTTGGGAACGGAATTCCCAATAAAACTTTCTTTTACGGTGGCGAGTGGCTCTCGCGCTATCGTTATCCTAGAATTGCAGTCAAAGTGTCAAAGAATGTTCAAAGCAAACTCGTCGTGCCATTGGATGTCAGGAACCTTCCTCAAAACTTGTCACTTGCTCCATCATAGCAGGAGCAGCAGCCAGCAGCTGTTATAAAAATATGCAGCCCAAGTAGTACAAGGGATCACACTCAGCCATATAGCAGTAGTATAGCTTATCCACCCCAAGCACCGCAACCACAATAATGGAGAGCTCGAGCGCAGCAACGACGACGACAGGCTCCTGTTACTGCCGAGAGCCCAGCGGCGTCCACGTCCTGCTGGTGCCCCTGCCGGCGCAGGGCCATATGAACCCGATGATCCAGTTCGGCCGCCGCCTCGCCTACCACGGCCTGGCTCCCACGCTGGTAACCACCCGGTACGTGCTGTCCACCTCTCCTGCCGCCGGCGCGCCCTTCCCCGTAGCGGCCATCTCCGACGGGTTCGACGAGGGCGGCATGGCGTCGTGCTCGGACCCCGTGGAGTACTGCCGCCGGCTGGAGGCCGTGGGGTCGGAGACGCTGGCGCGGGCCATCGACGCCGAGGCCCGGGCGGGGAGGGCCCCGGCCGTGATGGTGTACGACCCGCACATGCCGTGGGCGCAGCGGGTGGCGAGCGCCGCGGGCGTCCCGACCGCGGCGTTCCTGTCGCAGTCCTGCGCCGTGGACCTCATCTACGGGGAGGCGTGGGCGGGGCGCGCGCCGCTGCCGATGGCGGACGGGCGCGCGCTCCGGCGGCGGGAGGTGGTCGCCGTGGACCTTGCAGCGGAGGACCTGCCGCCCTTCGTGGTGGCGCCGGAGCTCTACCCCCAGTACCTCAAGGTGTCCGTCAGCCAGTTCGAGTTCCTCGCGGACGCCGATGACGTGTTCATCAACTCGTTCCGAGACCTCGAGCCACTGGAAGCGGAGTACATGGAGACGACGTGGCGCGCGAAGACGGTCGGCCCAGCCCTGCCGTCTTTCTACCTCGACGACGGCCGGCTGCCGTCCAACAAGACCTCCGGCGTCAGCTTCTTCAGCAGCAGCGCGCCGACGATGGAGTGGCTGGACAGGCAGCCCGCTTGCTCTGTCGTCCTTGCTTCCTACGGGACCGTCTACAGCCTGGACGCCGACGAGCTCCACGAGCTCGGCAACGGGCTGTGCGATTCCGGCAGGCCGTTCATTTGGGTCGTGAGGTCCGACGAGGCGCAGAAGCTATCCCAGGATCTCGGCGACAGGTGCAGGGAGAAGGGCCTCGTCGTGCCCTGGTGCCCTCAGCTAGAGGTCTTGTCGCATAAGGCCACAGGCTGTTTCATCACGCACTGCGGATGGAACTCGGCAACGGAGGCGATCGTCGCCGGCGTGCCCATGGTGGGCTTGCCGCGGTCGGCGGACCAGCCAACCACGGCGAAGTATGTGGAGAGCGCGTGGGGGATCGGTCTGCGGATGCAGCTTGACGAGAAGGGCTTGCTGAAGAGGGAGGAGGTGGAGAGGTGCATCCGAGAAGTGATGGAAGGGGAGAGGAAAACAGAGTTCAGGCAGAATGCGGGGAAATGGATGAAGAAGGCCAAGGAGGCGATGCAGGAAGGAGGGAGCTCTGACAAGAACATTGCTGAATTTGCAGCAAAGTATTTGTCAGTTTAAAAGCGCAGTTGTGCAGACTTCGTCAGCAGTGTGCAGATCAACAACTCTTTTCAGCACTGCTATGCTCAGGAGGAAATCAACTCAAGAAACATCACAGCCACATCTTCGATTATTGACTGATTATTTACTTGCACAATAAATACATATTTCTAGAATGTACAAGCAACTGCAGAGGTCATCAAAGAAACCTCATGTCCATCAACTAGACTCAGACATGCTTGTTTGCAGCACTCATTATCTCATGGCAAAACCGTTGACAGCCATATGGCCAATCTCTGCTGCCTGGAGCCGCTTCATGTAGTATTTTGACCCGCGCGAAAGGTCTATACGTTTTCTCCTCACCAAAGGCAGGGACTCGATCGAGCACTCCTTGAAGCCGCGACGAACAAACCTGCAGGATATTCAAACAAAATAAGCAACATCCTTTTCTCCTTTTGTGATCAGATCAGCAACGATTTCAATTGGCATGTGGCCATGTAGTTGTGGATGGATGTTTTTCTGAACACTGGATGCCTAATGTCCTGGCAAGCAAAGAATTTGGCTAATAGTAGTTCCCACTTCCTAGTAATGTACTGAGATTGACTAGGTTTCAGTATTGAAATAAAGCATGCCAGATCAAGATCAGCTGCCTAAACAATAATTCTTACTATCTGGTAACAGAAATTCTTAAAAAGAAATTGCCCAAGCATATAAAACATTCTCATCAATCATCACTACTAGAACACTAATGCATACCAATCCGCTGTCCGTGTGGTAAGCAAGAATATTTTCTCAAGTCCAAGGGATAAAGCCTTCTTCTCAACGTAATCTGAAAAACAATATCACCATGATAAGTATTTGAATATTTAATAAATTGTAGTTCGCTGCTCCACAAACTAAACAGTCATAGATTTTAACATTGCAAATTAGAACTAGTGCAAATGCAACCACGCAAACAGAAAAGGTGGCCAAATTAGTTAAATTTCAAATACATGTTCTTGGTTAAAATCTCCAAAAAAAAAAGATAAAAATTGACCAGCCAGTGAAAACCTCCTCGGGCACTGCATGTAGGTAGAAACCTCAACAAAGTCCTGAACCCTGGCTGTTCATCGAAACTGGGCCAGCACCATAGCCAGCAAAGCACTCGACCGGCACAAGAGGCACCACAGGGAGCCAAGACTTGCAGGCTAAATGAGGGATCTTTTTTTTTGTGTGTGTGTGTGAACCGGGAGTCAAACTCCTGACCAGCAGCTTGCGGCCACGCGTCACTACTGTGCGCTACATGGGCCTCCACTCTTGGTTAAAATCTCGATAGCTCATGAAACCAGGATGGATGCTTTAGTTTCCTTTTAATGCATCTTTGGAAAGGAATTAAAAATAATGAGTTTATACTGTACAGAATATATACCACCCAACAGGACAGAAATGCAAAATGAACATGAGCGGCTGCAGGCTTTTAGTTCATGTAACAGTACATATCGCAGCCAAAATAACTACAAGCAGCTGCGGCTTGCCGCAGCGAACAGGCCTGAAAAGGCACTTGAGAAACTTTCTCCAAGTTTGCAGTGAAAGGATAAAAATAAATAAATACTATACCAAAGTTCCAAAGATACAATCAGACCCCCTGGCTTTTTTTTTTTTTTTTGGGTACATTCTAGATCCTTGTTGAAGGGTGGGCCTGGTGCAAGCGGTAGAGTCTTACCGCCTGTGACTGGAAGGTCCCGGGTTCGAGTCGCGGTCTCCTCGCATTGCACAGGCGAGGGTAAGGCTTGCCACTGACACCCTTCCCCAGACCCCGCACAGAGCGAGAGCTCTCTGCACTGAGTACGCCCTTTTTTTTACATTCTAGATCCTTGTTGGTTCTGAAATTACCGACCTGCTTTCAGTACTCTTTTTTAGGGAAACAATAAGGAAATAGGGAAGATCCCTTGTTTCAGGTTTTTTTGCAGTTGATCCTTTGGCTTCTTGATTTTTTTTTTCTTTTTTTTTACTTAGAAATAAATTCTTGCAATATGAAATAAAAATGTTACACAAATTCCAAGACAAAAAAGAGAAAAGTCAGCCTAATCACCCATTGACACAGGCAATCTACATTGGTTCTCGTTGAAGTAAACCAATTTCTAAAACCCTAGTACAAACACTTATCTACCCTGAACCGAGTAAGTTATGTTAATTCATACAAAGCAATTAGAATATGCTAAAAATGCAATCATACCAAGTAATTTGTCTCCTTGACCTTGACCTCGACATTCTTCAGATACAGCAATAGCAGCAACTTCCCCAGATTTATCCTCAAGAAAAGGGAAGAGGGCAGCACACGCTATGATTGAGCCATCTCTTTCCACGACAATAAATGATGGCAATGCCTCAAGAAGCTAATGAAACAAAAGAATTCTGTGTTCAGTTGCATAAATGACTAGACAGAAAACAAACACACAGAACTCCTGAATCCATCAATGTTTTGTTCAGAAGATGAGAAAATAATGACCTCTTTATCTGTTTGGCGCACCAGGACACCAGATTCTTCTAGAGGACGAATGATCTTTCTAATACCAGAAAGATCTTCCTCTCTGGCCATTCTTGTTCCTTCATACAAATCCCTACAAAAATACGAGGAAAAACATCAATGCCCACATTCTCCTTGTTAAACATACAAGGATATGAGCATTCAAGAAGTCCTACACTAGATCACATGCTAAAGCATTCTTTAATTGAATATCATATTCCATTTTTCTTGCCCTTACATATTATGATGATAGATAACTGGGAACTCCCACAGACATGTAAAACAATAAACTTGAAACTTGATAAAAAAATGTCTTTCTAGCCAATATGCCATTTACAACCATTATAATAGCAAAACCAGAAAGGGGTCATTATTTTTTATCTTATTTTATACAGTATGGTGTATAGTCAAATATCCACCAGTGAATCCGTTAAGAGAATCACCCTGTCATCTAACATATATTTTGACACGGAATTGAAGCATTCCATTTCAAGAAGATAGGAAAATTAAGTAAAAGACGAACACGGATTCCATGCATTGAATTATTTTTAACAGGGTTCAGGGAGCAGACTTCTTGTAAGCTAAGAGAAACATGTAAAAAACACTTGGTCAATATGCATCTATGTACATCACAGATATTAAGGCCAATAGGGGCTTACACACCCAAGCTGCTATGTTCATTGGCAGCTAACATGGAAAAAAACAGTTCTATTATACCTAGCTATCATCGTTCCAACACCATCTCTAGTGAATAGTTCTAGCAACAATGATCCACCAACAGTACCATCTACGATATGCACTCTTTGGACACCACCCTGACATGAGAAGAATAAGGAAACTATAATTAGGACAAAAGAAAACAAGCAAAACAACATATATAATGTATGTCACATATTGCTGCATCATATCATAAAAAAATAATAACCCACGGATTATAGCCATCAGATTCCATTCACTGATGCATATCCAAGAACAGTTTAGACTTTAGACAAGGGAAATGGTAGACATACTTAAATTTTGCTAGAATTGTTCTACAACAATGACATGGCAGTCTGAATAAATTTTGATTTGCCTTACCTTTCCCTTTAGGCTTTAACAGATCTAACAGTTGAGAGTATCATTTGTAATGCTTCAGAATGACTGTTTTTGTATGTGTACCAATGAACTTAGATAATTGGACAAAAGAACAATTATTCAACAGGAGAAAGGTGCCTTGTGCAAGATAGTGATTTTCTACAAAAAATAATTATACACGACAGTACACGCAAATGAGTGCAGTTAGATGTCACCCAAAGTAGAAACATGCACAGATTTAATAGCACTTTTGAAAATATGGGCATCCTGCATACAGTGATATTATTGAACATTGCTGGAAACCTACAAAGCAAGCAGGAGTAACATGTTGCAGGAAAACCAAATTGAGAACATAATAGACTTTGTACCATGATAAAAATTTAGGAATCAATAAATCATGCAAAATTGTTCAAACACATGTAGAAGCTCAATACTTACATGGCATACGTATGCTGCCGCTGCTAACTCTGAAAGGTAGCCATTTGACCTGCTCAAGCGCTCCTCCCCACCAATAGCAAACCCTTGCTCACCAGACAGACCATTTCCATTGTTGAAACCCACACCATTCCGAAAAGATGCAGTATACCCATTAATATGGCCCCTTCCATTCAAACCATGTTCTGTATCATGTTTCATTGGGAGGTAGCGGACATGATTGATGTCCTCCTCATCAACAACCTTCACATAATTTGCAGCAATTTCACTCTGCTTAGCACGTGTTCTGATCAACATATCTGCTTCTTCAATAGACATAAAACGATTGACTCGACCATGCTCATCAAATATTTGGCCATCAACAATGCAAATAAGCTTGTCTGCCTCTATGGATAAAGCACATGCTGTAGCAACTTCATAGGTACTGAAAATAAGCCAAAATAAGTTTGTTAGACCCAATAAATATGAACTAGTGCTGTGGTGTTATTGCGAACACTGCATCTTTTTTTTCACAGAGCTTTACCATGGAGATTTGTAGCATCATTCAAGTAAATACAAATTGAGATCATAGAAACATGAGCTTGTGATATAGCTACACCTAATTCCAGACCAGTTAATGCTAGAACTATAAATAAGGGACCAAGATCTCCTATGAAATAGAAAATATTATTCAGAAATAGCATAGTCCAAGCAAACCCACTTAAAATCTTTACTGAACTATGACCGGCCATCATATTAGCAAATAAACGTATTCCTGAGCTTAATGCACGAAAACAATGAAAGATTAGCTCAAGGAGTACTAAAAAAGGAGCTAATGGCAGTGGGACTCCCGCTGGTAACAACAAGCTAAAAAAATGAAGCCCATGTCTTTGAAATCCAATGATCGTAATGCCTATAAAAATGGAAAATGAAAGAACCAAAGTAATGAGAAAATGACTTGTCACTGTGAAGCTAAAGGGTATCATACCGAGTAAAGACACATGAAACTTTTTATGGTAAATTGTAG